TGAAGACAATTGTACCCAAAGAATACAATCTCGAAGTAGTAGAAAATGAAGATTGAGATGCCCTTGCTGGCTGCTGCAAGCTTAAATAACGCCTCAATCATTGATAAGACAAAATACATGTAGAATCAATTAAGTAAAACGAAAAAACAAATTAATTAATAATCCTATCATTTTACACCATTCTCAGATTACATGTCTTTTCTTCGTTTTTTTCTTATATATAAAACAATAACAAAGTACAAAACAAATAAAGGAAATTACAAAGACGCTTAGGTTATTACAAAGGGATGGTCAGATATATTTATAGCATGGGATTTGCAACAAACAACTACATGACAATGTTCATCTAGGAAGAAAGCTTGGAAACATCCTTACTTGATCTATTGTACTTCATATGGCTCTTAACTAGTTGACCCGCTGCAAGGGCCGACATGAGTGACAGCTCCCCCGCAAGAACTGCACCGGCTACAATGGTTGCAAGCATCCTAGAGTTTGCTCCAGCTACCTCTTTGCTTGCACCTTTAACCCCTAGCAGATTCAAACAGGCTGACTGAGATGCAAGCTGAGTTCCACCACCAACAGTGCCAACCTAAACAACAAATCACAAATCAACCGTCATAAATTAGACTTCTAGCGCTTCCATGAACTCTCTCCACCTGAATCTAAACTATCCTAAGTCTGCAATGACCCAAAATGATCCTATCCAAAAAACCCAAACCTTAAAACTCAAAACGATTCAACCGGAAACGACCTGAACCAAAATAGATCATTTTAAAAGTCCAAATAGACCCAACTCAAAATCAACCGATCCAGCCTTGATAGGACTAGTTTTTGACAGGTCTGGTTTTGAGACACTTCTTACTCAGCCAGAAGGTTTTGACACTGAAAAATCCTTGTGTTTGGTAATCAGACAGGACTAAAATCAATTACCTCAATGGAAGGCATTGTGGCAGAGACGTGAATGTCCTTTCCATCATTAACAGCCTCCATCATCGTGATGCAATGAGAGCTCTCCACGTTTTGAGCCGGATCTTGGCCAGTAGCTATGTAGATTGCAGTGACAACGTTACTGGCATGGGCATTAAATCCACCCAGAGCTCCAGCCATGGCAGAACCAGTAAGGTTCTTAAGCATGTTGAGCTCCACCAGAGATTCCACACTAGTCTTCAAGACCTTCCTAACCACATCACCCTTAATGATGGCCTCACAGACAACAGATTTGCCTCGTCCTTCAATCCAGTTGACTGCAGCCGGCTTTTTGTCGGTACAGAAATTTCCTAAATCCATCATAAATCTATAAAATTGAGTTATCAAGCTCAAACAAAAGACAAATAACATAAGTATATAAGCAAATGAAGCTTACCAGAAATGCCGATGACATCCATGTCAGGAAAATCAGTTTGAAGGAAATCCAGAACGCTTTGAACCCCCTTGGAAACCATGTTCATCCCCATAGCATCACTGGTACTGCAAGTGAATCTCATATATAGATTCTTCCCAGCAATTGCACATTTTATGCTTTGAAGCCTACCAAATCGACTTGATCTGCAACCATCGCCAGAAACTCAAAATTTTCAAAATACCAGCACAATTAGCTAGAATTTGAACCGCTCAATCTGAAATCCAAAAATATCCAAACAAACCTGTTAAAAACAACAGCTAAAGTATCGAAATTGTCGGGATCTTCCAAATAAAACTTCAGCTCAGCTGCCTTTTTCGAGGTGCCGAATCTTACAATAGGAGCTCTAGTCATACCATCTTTCAATATGATACATGTAGCTCCACCAGACAAATGAATAGCTTTACAACCCCTGTTGGTACTAGCCACCAAGCACCCCTCCGTGGTTGCCATAGGAACTGAGAACTCTCTTTCATTAAGCAACAGTGGTCCAGCGATTCCCACGGGAATCTGCACGTACCCAACAGGCATCTCACAACACTGCCCTAAAATGGACTCGTAATCAAATCTATCCAGTGGCAAACCGGATAATGATTTCCCCGTTAATCTCTGCAGCGCCTCACGCCTGATGGCAGCGGCTCTCTTGCAATCACCTAACTTTGATTCTAAAGAATAGGAAGGAAGTGTTCCAGTCACTACGGATGTAATTATTTCTTCGTCTTCTTCGGTTGTGACAACAACGGGCTTTTCATCCAACAGTTTCTGGGTAGTAACAACCGGTACTCGAGGTGGCAGCGAAGGAAGCGAGCAATCAAGAGCCTGGCCGCAAGAGACTTTTCGGGCGTCTTCCTCTGTTGTAACTCTAACAGTCTTTTCATCGAACAGTTTCTGGGTAGTTACAACCGGCGCCATAGTAGCCAGTGAAGGTGGCGAGCAATCAAGAGCTTCGCCGCAAGGGACCGTACGGGCATCTTCTTTAGGAAGCAAGACTTTGTTTTCCTCTTCCTCGTCCTCGGCACTCCAAACGTCACCAGAAGGTCGGAGAATCAAAGACTGGACAAAGTCGATCCCGAAGAACCCCAAAAGATAAATCAAAGAGGCGACTAAAGCGAAAATCGCAATGATCTCTGAAAAGGTGACGAGGTGGAGTGGAATTGAAGCTCGGATCTTTTCGCGCCAACGGGAAAGAAGAAAGTAAACAACGGAGAAGAAGAGCGTGAAGAACACAGCATTCGTTAGATACAACGGAATAGGTAACGCGTCGGAGGCTTTGGCAGTATCTTCCTCTAAAGGGATCCTCTTTGTTGGCTTGAGAGCATGAACCCGTTTATTCGCTGTAGGCCGGCTGGCTTCCATTACGGACGGCGGTGGCAACGGGGAAGCCGGCGGAGGAGGAGGAGGAAGGAAGTCGTGGGAAATGATTACGGTTCGTGTTGGGAACGGTTTCCGAGGAGGTTGAGTGGGTGGGCGAGAGTTTAGGGGGGAAGGAAATATTTATAGGGGTTGTTGGGGGAGTACACGTGTGGAACAATGAAAGAGAAGGGGAAGTGGTAGCGCGTGAAGATAAAAGAGAGATGGAAAAGGCGCGTGGTGAAAAGAGAGAGAAGTTGGCACGTGTTGATGAGTCAAAAGACAGAGTTTAGGCTGTTTGTTTTTGAAAGAGCATTGCAATTTGCATGGTTGATGACAACGGGCACTGACACTCCATGTTCCAAACATGCTCTCTTCATTTTTTAAACCTTCTAAATTAGGCTTAATCAAACAAATATATTCTATTAAATAATTATTTTGATATTTATCTTTTTACTATTTTATTTTAAAGTAAAAAGATTTTTTTATATAAATCAGTCAATATATTGTCAATGTTTTAAAATAATGGTTTTTGCTCTAAAATGAAATGAATGGAACTAAAAAGATAAAAAAATGTTACAATGACTATTTTATTATTTTAAACAATTATTTTCATATTTATCTTTTTAATATTTTATTTTAAATTAAAAACATTATCTTTTATAATTTTATTTTACTTATAATTACATCAAATATTAATTTGGAAAAATTTTAAAACTTAATTTATTTTCATAGTATTAAACCTCCTGTCGTCACTGCCATCGTCATGACCGCTATTGCTGGTAGTATCATCTTTCACCATCAACGAACGATAAAGACTAAATCACCGATGAAATATGATACCGACGGTGGCGACGAGGAGATGACAGCAATGGAAGTGACGACGACAACGGCGTGAAGAGATCTTCAAAGCTATTAAAATAAATTAAAGTTTATAATTCCCAAATTAATATTTATTCTAATTATAATTAAAATAAGATTATAAAAACTAATGTTTTATAAATATTATATTTTGATTAAATTACATTTAAGTTTTTAACTAATTTATAATTCTACATTTAATATTTTATAATCTTAATGGTGTTCATCGTTAATAGTGCTCATCCACGCTCGACGAACATTGTAGAATTTTTTTATTATAAAAAATTCCATAAAATAAAAGATAATCAAATATTGTTTTCAATCTAATAAAAATATTAAAATCATAATTAGACCTAATTATATACACGATGTATTTGATAAATATAAAATAAAATAGAAAAATATAACATGTAACAAAATGAATGCACATGCAAATGTAATAATTAAATTGAAAAAGAAATCAACTTTGGTTTATAATTGAAGTGGTGAAATTATAATTTAAAAATTCATCCAACATTTTTAAAACTGTCGTGAGATTGACTCTATGGGGAGAATTGGGGGAGGGGGATCCAACAAAATAGCCTGCAAATGCTAAGACATGAAATTGGAACAATAATGAAACTACACTCTTGGACTTAATACCAATTCAAATAATAAGGTTAAAATTATACACACCCTTATTTACTCTGAAAACGTCGCCAAAGAACAGTTTTACTGTAATAACAATATTAGCTTCTACAAAATAAATAAATAAAAAATTAAATAAAAGGGTTTAAAAGTGTTAAATTTATATTTTAATCTTAAATAAATAAATAAATATATATATATAATTCATTTATTTCTTGATGTTTGATAAAATGCACAGAAACTGATTTTTTTTGTGTAACCCGAGTTTATAATAAAAATATAACTGTATCCAAGATAATTATTTTTAAAAGTTTAAACTACTCATGATTCTAGCAATAAAATCAGAAATAATTATGCTTAAATTTATATATAATTTGATTATATATATTGATTTTTAGTTGAATATATTAAAATATTTTTCACTTAAGATTAGTTAACATTTAAAATGGATTTATAAAAAATATTAAAAAAAACACAAACATAAAAATAAATAAATAAACTATATATAACTATCATCAATGACGAATCTATAAATATTTTTGAGAATGAACACGTATATGTTAACAACATAAATTTTTTGAATATATCACTACAACTAACAGAAATATATTTTAGCATAAAATTTCAATTTAATTTAGATGATTGAATAACCAACAGATTTTGAGCTAAACATATCAAACTCCATGTTGACAAAACAAAAATGTGAGCCTTATAGGCAATGTGTGTGTTTTGTTTTAAATGTGTCCATAAAGCACCTTTACAGTCATACATTACAAACAATAATATCCTTCAACGCTACAAAGCAGCTAGCCTGCTCCCTGTTCCCTTTCTCCCTCATGCCAACGGAGCCATAATTGTCGTCATTACTGCCGCCGACATCACCGCCATTGTCAGAGTTTGATTTGGCGAAGCGATGCAAAGACACTTCCAGTGTTCCGTCGCTGTACACAAAGTTACTACCGTCTATCATACATCGCCACCTCCGGCATCGGTCGTAAGGCTGAATAGGCATTCCCCTTTTAAGGCAAAATTTAAAACTTTTAAGCAGATAAAGACAAATGTTAAATTCGATTTTAATTAAGGATATTTATATTTATCAGCATTTTTAAGTATTAAAAATTTGATATAAACTAATAGAAAAATACCAAATCTAAAATATTATTTAAGAAATTAAAGAGAGCGGAAAAAAGAAGGATACGTACCTAATGTGGAAGACATCGGAAATATCCCACATCCGGATATAAAAGTTAACGGCGTCGAGAAAAGCGCGATAAGTGTGGATGTGGACCCCGTCAATCCGGGGGTAAGGCAACTTGGGTCTCCGGAGATCGATCGTCGGCGGGGGCGGTTCATCTGCCCTGGAACGTAAGGAAGGGAAAGATTTGGGCCGCCTCGCCGTGTAATAAACGTACTCCTTCCAAACGAAGCCGGAACCTTCCTCATATGGCGGGAGGCCGACGAAACCCATGGTGGCCATTATGGGATCGAGCTCGTCGTGCGTCATCAGGGGTTTAAACGTTGCCGTTTTCCACAGTGCTAGCTTTTTAATGCAAAGACTGAGACCCATGCACCCCGCCATTGACATTGAGAAAAAAGGTCAGCATAAAATTAAAAAAAGTTTTTATTGGTATTTTATAAAGCAAGAGTTTTGTTTATAATTGGTATTTTTGGAGGTGGAGTTTGATATGGTATCTATTTACTCTAATTCAAAGGAATTTAATTCTATTAGATATTGTAGCACATTATATTCTATATGCATGGTTTAATACCTAATTTCGACTCTCTACTTTAGTCAAAATGTTCAGTTTGACATTTTATTATTATTATTTAATCAATTTGGCCTCTCAACTTTTAATTCATTATCATTTTGATCATTTTTCAATAAAAAAAATATCCGATTATGTTTTGCCACGTGCAATAAACTAATGGTGACGGACATGCAAATCATTTTAAAAATTATAAATAAATTTAACAGTTAAAATATTATAAACATATCACTTTATGGTTAAAATTAAAACAAACATCTAATTTACTTTGATATAATAATATCTTTAATCTCCAAAATTTATATATTCTGTCAATTTTGTTCAAATATATGTTTGAGCTTCTTATGGATTCTTTGACTCCATGTTTGTGGACATTCTGCTGCTTTTGTGGGGTTTATGGCATCCACGCAATGTAATATTTGCACGGAGGGAGAGTTCTCCCCGGTTGGATCGCCTCACGGATGCTGCTACTCAGGCGGCGTTTCTCCATGCGTCATCCTCAACTGCTCGTCCATAGACGCTTGATCCATTGCACACTGTTCGCCGGGTTAAGCCTCCACCACTGGGTTGTATCAAAATCAATGTCGATGGTGCATGCCCTGCCCCTTCGGGGGCCCAGCCGCCATTGGTGTTCTTGCTCGCGACTGTCACGGACTGGTTATTGCCATTTGCCAGTCGTGGTCAGCCTTTACAGGTGCCTCTTGATGCAGGAGTTGTGGAAGCACATGCCATTGCTCTTGGTGTCCAACTTGCGCTTGAATTGGATGCTACTGCCACAGTTGTTGAGAGTGATGCTCTTAACATTGTTCGACAGCTACAAGACCACATCCGTATAATGTTTATTTTCAAAAAAAAAAAAAAAACTTGTGACGAGGTGAGTTATAGACTTCACTAACAAAAGTCTAAACCAATGAGCGTCGTCAAACTTAACGAACCGTAAACACATATAAATAAATTCTTATTACGATTCGTTCCAACAACAATCATAAACATGAAAAACGCAACAAACAATAATCTTCATATCCTGGAATTTGTAACTCATTATTAACATCGAGAAGTTTAATGTTGAATATTTGAAATATCCAATTCAATTATAGGGTATAGGCACTATCATTGAAAGGATTTTTTTGTGCTCATCTGACAATTGTTCTTGTGATTCAATAGTTTTATCGACAACATGATTTGTTGTTGTCTTAATGGTGTTCGAATTCATCATTTTAAAAATCTTCTGTAATACCCTGAATCAGTTTATCGACAGTGTCTGTTGATGTTGACAATTCATCGAGCATATATATGATCATTTTGTTTGGATCTTCGGCTCGATTAGTAAATTAAAATCTTACAATCATAGTTTTGTTTAAATTTTAATACGATAGCTGAATTCTGCTGCTAACTAATTCTCTGAGCTAGCTGAAATTGTTGTTGCTGAGTCGACTGCTCATATGGTTGCTCACTTGGTCCCCATACCGAACTCAAAGTTGTGAAGAAGCGACTGAATCAAATCGATGGAAAAACTGTGCAACTCCAATCATCATTTCGGTTGACAGTTTGACTTGACAGTTGAGATTATCAGGAGGTTCAGGGCTTCACAGTTTGATTTGGTCAAAACTGGTTTGAAGAGTGAAGGGGATGTCATTTCGGTTAACATGGCCTCGCTGAAGGCTGGCACACCTTCTCCCATTGTAAGTCTCTAGATATTTAGATAATTAGGTGCTGAAACCTTTAGTTAAATTAATTTACATATAGAACTATTAATTATGATTTCAGTAGATATTACTGTACTTAAGATCGATTACTCAAGTTGTTTTCCTTAATTGTTTTGCTTCAGATGTTTATCATAAAAGCACTGAAGATATAACCAAATCCATTCTTCAAGTACTAGGGAAAACTGAAAGAAATGGATAATCTACTCTCTTGAGAAAATATTGGTGCATGAATCTTTTATGCAGGTCCTAAGGTGCACACTATTTGATAAATTAATACAAAGCGTCCCGTGAGACTTTTACTGGATATGAAATGTTTGGAATCGAAAAGTTTTCTGAATAATTGCAGAAATTGGTTTGCTTGTGCCAACCTGAAGTCTTTTAGCAGCGATGATTAGATATTAAGCATCTATCAATTTGGAGTGGTGTGGCATAATTGCATTGTTTCATCGAAGATGGAAAACAATGTGCATTAATCATTGTTTCATAGTTCCTTAAGAGCACTTGGTTGCCAAAGGAACTAAAGACTAAACTTCTGTGCTAAAAATGCTCAATCATTTAATGCATGGTCAATTAAGTCTTTTGGTATATCTTTCTTTTTCCCATTATTACATACAATCATGCTACTGTTCTTTAATCAATTTTGTTGCCAAGGCAGTAGCCATATGCGGACACATATATTCTTTGTATTCATGGTAAAAGAATGATGATATGTATAATATCTACCTCTAACATACACATTCTTTAAAAAATTTCTGCCAGGTTTTGTTATGAATTTGCAGCCATCTGAAGCAGAAGCTGGTTTTGACATTCGAGTACCACCAACAGCTAATACAGAATCCTTGGAGAAACGAATAGCTGAGCAAGTGATGCACGCATTCTCTCTTGGAAAAAGTTGGCATTCAGTAATAAACAAAAGGGTGGTGTACCATTTCCAAAATCTGTTATTACAAAATTTCAATGGAGGTCCTGCAATATTTGACTTGGAATCAATATGGTGACATCCTCTGGTTTGTTCAGTATTTTATTCTGTTCATACCAGCAGTTGTAAATATTCCTTCTCTCCCGCTTTTTGGAGTTACTGACACTTGTCAAATTGTATTGATTTTATATCATCCGAGTTGCTATATAAATACAAAATTGGTGCATTCCATGGGAAACAAATGTGACAAGTTTTGGGAAAAGGAGAAGGCTGGCAATTTGTGTGAGTTTGACATGGTGTTTTGATGTTTGCATAAACTAGTTACTCCTGTCTGCGGTCTAAGGAAAAGGGTACTACTGTTGATTACCTGGGAAGGCCGCTCATAACATCCACTGACAGTTCTAACCCATGGTGGACTCTGTTGGAAGAAGCTATCAAGAAAGCTAATGGAAAGGTCGGGAAGCCAGAGATTTTTCCGGCGTCTACAGATGTTTGCTATTTTCGGCAAGTGGGCCTACCAGCTATCGGTTTTTCACCTATGGCTAACACTCCTATTTTGCTTCATGACCATAATGAGGTACGTCTTGTATTATTACTGTCATATGTTAATGTGCAGGCTTGCATATTCATGCACATTCCCACAATAGTACTAGTATTGCCTTATTTATCCTTACAACTTGTATTACGAGTGTGAATAACCAAATCATAAGGTACTGTTAACCACAAAGGACACTTAACTAAGTATTCAAGAAGAAACATTTCTTGTGATGCTTGGATTCTAGCTCTTGCAACTTCCTAGTGCCATATGAATTGTGAGCGTTTATTATAAACTCTTTTCCTGATATTTTGTGCATTGTCCAAACATTACACATTTTGGTTGAGGTCGATAAAGATGCATCTCAAAATATTGGAGTGATAGAAGAACTAAAACTCCATCCAGTTGTCACTGATGAGGTGTTATTTTAACATTTGATGCAGTTTATGAATCAACTGAATTTGTATGATTGAAACCCCTAAGAGAGTCGTTTCCATTCTTTTCCTGTTGTTTGTTTATTGGACTGAAAACCTGTTCTGCGCAAAGACAATAGATGGAGATGATTACCCTCTTCAAGTCACTTCCATACTTCCATAAATTTAACATTATAACTGACTTGCACACCATTGATGCTGCTATTTGATATTCTGATTGATGGACCATTGTCTTTGATCTGTTGAAAACTCTTCTTTTCTTCTATTTTCCTTGTTCCATCTTAATTTCAAGCGGTCATTCACCGTTTGCTGCATTTTTGCCTTGTTTTTGGTTAGATATATAACAATGCAATTCCTTGTAGCTTTAAATTCTGACACCAAAAACTACTGAATTTCATGAATATGTTCGGATAGCAGCCATATTTTCATAGTTAGCAACTAGCAGGAATGTGATGCAAGTATCTAACTGTTGTTTTTTTCCTACTGCAGTTTCTTAACCAAGCCGAGTACTTGAAAGGAATCGATGTGTACGTGTTCATTATTAAATCATATACGTCATACATCCCATCTAGAAGAGAGCCTCCAAGGGACGAGCTATAAAGGATAAGCACGGGCATATCTTCTTCCTCAAGTGATAACTCTTAATTTCTCTTGCTACCTTGACGTACAACCATAAGGAATCGATGTGTATGTGCCCATTATTAAATCATGTACGTCATACATCTCATCTGGAAGAGATAGCCTTCCAGGAGACGAGTTATAAAGGATAAGCACGGTCGTATCTTCATCCACAAGTGATAACTCTTAGTTTCTCTTGCTTCCATAAGGAGAATAGAGCTAAGGTTATCCTAGTAATGTGTCATTAACAATGGAAGCAGTTCATCATGTTGCTTGTGGATGATGGGTTATTTGAATGTGCCTGATGAGATTTGTCATGTTTCCTTCTCGTCAAAGCGTATCATTTTCAGTGTAAGTTTGTCAAATTCTGCTTGATGGTTGAATAATAAGTCTACGATGAAATGACTCTTTAATAGATGATTCAATGATTTATCTTGGTAGAACCTCTGATGTATGACCATCATCAAGATAGCTATTAAGTTCTGTAATCGGCAATAGCTGTATTAATAATATTATCGTTAGTGATTCATTACCATCAATCCAATAACATTAGAGAATTCTTTTTATCTTCCAGTATTTTATGGATATACTATGCCCAAAAAAGAATTCCCTTATCTCTATGGCAATAAAATTTAAAATTTACACACGCTGATTTGCAGCTCTTCTTGCCCTTGTAATTGGTTTGCCTACTCTTCAAGCAAAAAATCTATATCAGCCATGTAGCATCTCATTTCATCAACTAAGATACCAAGCATCTCATATATCTCTTTACATTTTGGATGAGCCTTTTCACCAACAAGGAATGCATGAACCTCATCTTTTATTTCAATCCAACTACACCCAGGTTCCTTCTTGAGCTTATTATACCTCATCATCTTCCTCATATATGAAACCTTGTCCCACAATCCGGCATCAGCATAAATGTTTGATAGAAGAATATAAGCAGAAGAATCTTGAGGGTCCAATCGCAAAAGAGAATCTACCACTGTCTCGGCCACATCTACATTCCCATGGATCTTGCAAATGCTAAGCAGAGTTCTCCATATAACATCATCTGGTTCAAAAGGCATATCATTTATGAGTCTCAATGCCTCAGTAATTTGGCCAGCCCTTCCCATTACATCCACCATACACGAATAGTGCTCCAACTGAGGTACTAAACCATAGCCACTTGACATCAAGGCAAAATAGTTCAATCCCTTTTCCACCAGCCCTATATGTGCACATGCTCGAAGGACTGAAACAAATGTTGCGTGGTTTGGTGTCACATTCTCCTTAATCATATCCTCAAAGATTTGAAGGGCCTCTTCTCCGAGGCCATGTTGAGCATACCCACAAATCATGGCATTCCATGTTACAAAATCCCGATTAGTTGCTTTCTGAAATATGAGCTTGGAATCATACATGTTTCCACATTTTGAGTACATATCCACAAGGGTGCTGCATATGTATACATCCGATTGCAGTTCAAGCTTGATGATTTGAGCATGAATTTGCTTACCAAGTCCAACAGTGGCCAAATTAGCACATGTATCAAGAACTGTTGCATAAGTGAAGTGATCTGGATTTACCCCCACTTCCAGCATTCCGGCAAAAAAATTCTGAGCTTTTTCACTTTCTTTCTGCAGAGAAAATCCGGAAATTATTGCATTCCAACAGACCATGGTTTGCTGCTCTATTCTGTCATGGATCTTTTCTGCTTCCTCCATCATCCCACATTTACAGTACATGTCAACAAGAGCACTTCCAACGAACGAATGCAACCCTATTCCAGATTTAATTGTTCTATTATGGATCTCCATGCCATAATCCAAGGCTTTTTGACCGGCACAAGCTTTTAAGACACTGCCGTAAGTGAACTCATCAGGTTCAATCCCGGAATGCAGCATGGAAACAAAATGAGATAGTGTTGCCTCTTCATTTCCATTCTGTTCATGTGCTGCAATAACTGCATTCCAAGAAATAGCATCCCTTTTCTCCATTTCATAGAAAACACGACATGCTTCGGCTAAAGCTCCAGATTTACCGTACATGTCCAGTATAGCATTGGCCACACAAATATTTGATTCAAGAGTAGTTTTGACTGCCAAGGCATGTACTTGAACGCCCTCCAAATACCCTTTAATGACTGCACAAGCACTAAATGCTCCAGATAAACTTATTTCATCAAAACCAAGATCAGACTTGAGCAAATGTCGAAATAATTGCAACGCTGGAATGGCCTGACAACTTTGGGCATAACCAATAATTATGGCATTAAAAGATTGCAAATTGTGGTTTGGAAACAGGTTAAATATCTTTCGAGCTTCAATCATATTACCGCATTTTGCGTACATATCTAAAATTGCTGTTCCTACAATCAAATCTGATGCAAAATTAGTCTTCAAGGAATGACCATGCAACTGTCTTCCTAACCAAAATGCAGAGAACCCAGCGCATGACCTGAAAACACTAGCATAAGTTGACTGACTAACCCCAATACCTCCCCTTTGCATTTCTTTGAACAATTCAACACCCTTAATAAACTTACCATTTTGAACACAACCTGCAATGACAGCACTCCAAGAAACCCAATTCTTCTCGGGCATTTCATAAAAGTACCTAATTGAATCATCTAACCTCCTACATTTCCCATAAAAATCCACCAAAGCACTTCCTGTAACGACATCTCTATCAAAAGCAACTTTAACCGCCACACCATGAACTTGTAGCCCCACATCAAACTCTTCCAAAAAGGTACAAGATTTCAAAACAACAGCAAAGGTTGTCCAGTCAAATCCAACTCCCGCCTTATTCATTTCCAGGAAAACCAAAATGGACTTCAAACACTCACCATTCTTCAGGTACCCTGAAGTCAATGAATTCCACGAAATAGCATCCTTTTCAGGCATATCATCAAAATATCTCCTCGCAGTCTCCATCATCCTATTACTAGCATTCCCGAAAATCATTGCATTCCACGACACAACATCTCGTTGAGACATTTTATCGAACACCTTAGTAGCATATCCTAAATGTCCACATTTAATGTACAATTGGAGCAAACAATTGGCGACAAAGACTGTTGGGACAAACCCAGATATTATCATTTGACAATGGGCTTGTTTGCCTGTGTTTAAGGATGTTTGGTTTGAACATTCTTGGAAAATGTGGGAAAAAGTTTTTTTCTTCCTCGGTATAGTCTGGGTTGTTGCTAGAGTTGAAACAAAGAGAGTTTTAAAGAGATGTGCTTTGGACAATGGATGAGAAAAGAGTTCTGGTGTCATTTATTTTTCGCACGGTTAACAGTTTATGTAGCATATGTTTTTGAAGAGAGGTTGGAGTCATGTTTTCCGCAACGTATCATATTAGATCAGCAAACTTGATTCGAATATGATTATTTGAGTTGATTTGTTTAAATCGAGATTAGATATAATTTAAATTTGATCGAAATTTTAAAAAATAAATCAAGACAAAATCGACATGAGTTTTAACTTGATCAATATGGACACATATTTAATTTAACTTGAATTAAAAATAGCCAAAATCGAAAATCACTCGAACCGAAAACAACCCAAAACTAAAATAACATCAAATTCATGTTTAGGAGGCCAGAAAGAAATAAACCATAAATTTTAGGATCTATAAGTTGACTATAACAATGACGGATGACAATAATAAGTGTTTACTGACGGTGATATATTTTATCGAATTTAGGATTATATTAATATTTTATCTAAAGTTAGAGAGACAGAATAAAACTTAAATCCTTTACTAACATGTCATGTCATTAGATTAATAATAGTTATTATTTTACTGACTAAATGATCTTAAGTTGTTAGTTTTCTTTCAATGATTATAGGAAATTATATTAATTATGTGTTTAATTTACGATTATGATTATAAATCTTTATTATAATTTAGAATATTTCTTATTTTAAATAAAATTAGTGATTTCTTTTAAAAAAAAATAGTTCAATGACTAAAATGTAAATTAATAATATAAATGACCAAAATTTAATAAATCAATAACGTAAATGATCAAAATATAACATTTCAAGTTGATGATAAAAAAATGAATAAAACTTAAACAAAAATTGTTTTTTAACTTTTTTTTTTAATTTTTTCCTATTTTTGTTTTTCCTATTTTAATAGTTTTATTTATATTTTAAAATAATATAGTCTTTTCTTAAATTCTTTTTTACTTTAATTTTAGATTACCTTCAAACTTTCTTATAAAAAATAATTTTGTCTTCAAATTCGGGTAATAAAATTTATTACGGTTTTTTTATATCATCATTGATATATAGATTATCACATTAGTTTTATATATTGTTATATTAGTATTATAGTATATTAGACTATCACATTAATATTATAACAGTAATAACAATCTTCGTTAATTAAAAAACAACATTAATGTAATTTATAAACTTTAAAGTCTAAATCGATACAATTCAAAATAAGAAAAGTATTACTGATTTAAAATGTATATATAATAAAATTACCCTTTAGACATAAAATCCAGAAGTACTTTAATTTATTACTAATCTCATAATCATATAACCTCAAATATAATTTATCCAAAAATTAATGACCATTTACTATAGTTTATCTTAAATTTTAAGTACCCTTCATGTGCTGGTAACATTAATTTCGATTATTAAATATTCGAATATGTATTACAAATTATGTATTTGTACCTTAAAATGTAAATCTTTTTGATAGAGAGAGAAAAAAGTTACACTTTTTGGATATCTATATTGGTAGAATAATCTTAATATATATAAGGAACCATGGGAAAGATGATTTTACGGTAAAAGGAGGAAAATTATATTATTTTACTGTAAATAGAGGAAAGATTTTTTATAGATTATAAATTTTAATTAAATCTTAACCATTTATTTATTTATATCCGATAGTTATAAATTAATATAAAATTTGTTAGTTTTACATAGTATAAATTATATATATATATAGTAAAAGAACTGAAGAATAGATGATGTTTTGGTGTTGAAGTTGCTGGTTCTACTTTGATCACAAGAAGAGAAAATACAAAGGAAAACCCAGACCGAGCTTTGGGGGTGGAGCTTGTTTTCGTTGCGTCTCCTCTCAGTTTCCGTATCTGATATTCCCATCAAGGAATGGAGAGCGATTCAGAAATGGTGCCATTTCCCTTGCTGACGACTCCCATCGAATCAAACTACGGGGCATGCACCATTCCCTACAGATTCCCGTCCGATGATCCTCGAAAGGCAACCCCTACTGAAATTGCCTGGATCGACCTCTTCCGCAATTCCATCTCCTCCTTCAAGTATTCCTCTTTCATTTCTTTGTATATCTGGAAAAAATGGGTTCTTTTAGGTTCTTCCATTAAGTTCTTCGACTCTAATGAATGTTCTTTTTTTGGTACTCATCTATTATTTGATGATTTTTACGGTGTTTTTAATATATAGTTGATATTCCTTGTTTACCTGGAAAGAATGGTTAATTTGAGGTTTTCCCATTAAGTTTTTTCTGTTCTAATTATTCTTCTTTTGTGTCTGTTTGCTGATCTGATGATTTTTATTTTTATTTTTTTTCATAATTTTTAATCAGATTGCTTTTCTGTTAGTTAGGAGGTAATGGTCAATTAAAAGAATAAGCTTGCTTGTTTTTAATTAAAAAATGGTTTACCATCTGTGTTTTCCGGAAGAATTTGCTCATTACTTCAGTTTATTGCAGGAAGAGAGCTGAAAGTGATACTACCGTGGCTGATGCTCCAGCTAGAGCTGAGAAATTTGCTCAAAGGTATTGGGTATTTCTTGTGCTTCCTTTTACGTACGATTCCTTTGTTTCAAACGTTCATTTGGTTTCATTTATGAACATTTTCTTTAGGCAAATTTCAATGACCCTCCGTCGAAAGCATGTCTAATTGGTTGTTCATAAGTCATAAGCATCTACAACTGTTCCTTCAGTATTTCTGATCACATTTGTGTGCTTTTGTTTGCTTAATGTTGTGAAAGGTATGCTGATATACTTGACGACATCAAGAAAGATCCCGAAAGCCATGGTGGACCTCCTGATTGTATTGTAAGTCAGATTTTTAGAACTAATTTCTGTATTACTTAATGGATTTCAGAATGGTTGTTCTTGGAGATATGCATGCGGTCCTCATGATAGTTTTGCCGTTTTGTAGCTTCTCTGCCGACTTCGTGAACAGGTTCTTAGAGAATTGGGGTTTAGAGACATATTCAAGAAAGTGAAAGTGAGTATTGAAATTTATGCTACAGGTTCTTATAATGCTAAAAACTGTTGTTTTATATGCTAGCTGTCTGAATTCCAATTTTATAACTTTCTAATTTTGATGAATGGAAATATATCACCTTGTATGGACTATACTGGTGATTTTATTCCCCTTCTTTATGAAATGATAGTTTTTCGAGGAATAACAAAAAAAAAAATGAACATTTTGGTTGAAGGTAGGGATTGCATTGTAATCATTTTACAATCTGTCCAACTTGCAATGTAAGAAAAGGTGAAGAAGGGTAGTGGAGGTGTCCGGTGTTAAGAATAAAGGAATATAGTTGCCAGTGTTATATGCTTTCCCATTTATTTGTTAACACTGTTCTTTGGAATAGGATGAAGAGAATGCCAAAGCTATTTCACTATTTCCAGAGGTAGTTCGTCTTAATGATAATATTGAAGATGGAGAGAAGCGCCTGGAGAATCTAGTTAGAGGAATATTTGCTGGAAACATATTTGATCTTGGTTCTGCACAGGTAGTTTCTAAAACTATGCGATAATCATCTCATCCATCATCACTATTGTCGAAAGTATTTACACTTAAATAAGTGGCAGTTCGTATTTGTTGTTGTAGTTACAAACTTACGACATTTAGTACTCATTTTCATAAGGCATTTTTGAATCCCCATTATCTGAGATAAGCACTTTGAATCTTAATTGTCATGCATTTCTCATGCACTCTAAAATTATTCCTTGTTTCATTTTCCACTTCGATCAGAGTAATTTTTAACTTTTGATGGGTGTAATGATCATCTTTGCCGATGGATGAAAATGAACTATCATTGATAAATAAAAAAACTTCTCATATGTCGGATTATGCTTTAACATGTTTCACGCTTTCTGGTTGAGATAATTTCCGTGATATTAATATTCATTTTGAATAGAAGCATGCCATAATAGGATAACTTTTTCGGTGGTACTTACTTTTTGTTTGTGCTATTTGCCCTTACTTTTGGAAGCTTGCTGAGGTTTTCTCAAGGGATGGAATGTCCTTCTTAGCTACTTGTCAAAATCTTGTTCCTCGTCCTTGGGTTATTGATGACTTCGACACATTTAAAGCAAAATGGAGCACGAAATCTTGGAAAAAGGCAAGTCAACCTAATGCATATATTAAGACATCAACACTCACTTATTCACTAAAATTAAAAGTTGTTGCTGTTGTATGTATCTTATAGCCAACTTTTCTTTTTATTTCAATGGCAGGCAGTTATTTTTGTCGATAACTCTGGCGCAGATGTGATCTTGGGTATTTTGCCATTTGCGAGAGAGTTGCTAAAACGTGGGACCCAGGTTTGCAATTAAAATCCAAAAACATTTTCATGTACTTCTTTAAATTATGTACGTGTTAAATAAGTTTGTGGCGTGTGTATTTTATTGGTTTCAACAATTTTAAAATCTGTCTTTTATATATATAACTTAAATCCTTGCACTCATTTGTGGTCTTTATTTCATATGGTAGGCAACAGATTGAACCGTGATCAATAAGAATTGGTGAAAAAATCTAATAGAATTATGTTTATAATTTCTTCCTCTTTGCTCAGGTTGTCTTGGCAGCTAATGACTTACCTTCCATCAATGATATAACTTATCCCGAATTGGTTGAAATTATATCGAAGGTGATGGAAAGGAAAACAGTTCTAGATAATGATCATTAAACTTCCTTTATCCTCTTTTTCTGGACCGTCTCTAATATATTAAATGCTAATATATTAAATGCTAATTTACCAGTTGAAGGATGAAAGTGGTAGCCTTATTGGTGTTGATGCTAAAAATCTTTTGATTGCCAATTCTGGTAATGATTTGCCGGTAAGATATAATTATATTACTTTTCCTAATGCATCCAAACCCCATAAAGAATTTACATTTTGTCAATGGAGTGATGGCTTCTTCTGTTTTTGTAGGTTATTGATCTTACGAGAGTATCACAGGAGCTCGCCTACCTGTCAAGTGACGCAGACCTAGTTATTTTGGAAGGCATGGTAGGTTTTTTTTTCCTTCATAACCCAGCAGATTTCCAGTTTATATATATATTTGGCCTTAGAACTTTGAGAATGTGACAAGAACCCAAAGCGAATCCAAGCTATTCGGATAGGTAGCTATGGGTTGTTTAATGATTGTGTCAATGTTTAACGGTAACCAAATTTATCCATGATAAAGATCGTTATAATGTATTGGTTGAATAGGTCCACTAACATAGGTTTAGTTTGCTTCAGTGTTCTATGCACTGATTTAACACTTTCCGATCAACCGTTTGTAACTAATATAGTGGGTTTCTATATGTATATGTTTTTTCAGGGTCGTGGAATAGAGACTAATCTTTATGCTCAGTTCAAGTGTGATTCAGTCAAGATTGGAATGGTAAAAATTCACCTCCATCTGCATTGCTTTGGCAACATTTAATGAATTTGCACAACTTGATGCTGTCTGACCATGTATTTTCACAGGTAAAACATCTCGAAGTCGCCCAGTTTCTTGGCGGACGGCTGTACGATTGCGTGTTCAAATACAATGAAGATGTAGGATCTTGATTGCATTTGAAGTTTGGTAATCATTCAATTCAAAAAAACTTGGGGTTTGAACAGCCAGATGCTCCCAACCACTTAAATAATGATGTGAAAACAATTTACATGCGCTTCATTTTTACTCTGCATATGCATGTAATGCAAACTTAGATTGAGGGTTGACCTACCATCATATCTATATTTTTTATTATATGATTAAACTTGAATACATTGAATATAACAATCAGGCAGGGGGACATGCTGCCTGCTTCTCATAAAATTTTCTTCCCACATTTTGTTGGATGTTTCTTCAATTTACGATTTGGATTAACGAATAATATTAATATTATAAAAACAGCAGGAAGTTGTTAATATCTGAACTAATCAATTGCATTATGATAATAGATCTGTGTCCAATTTAAGTTATAGATTAATTTCAAATTTAGAACCGGGGGTTATTTTTTTTGCATCCATTTCCGTTTAATACAGACTTGATTACAATTCATCATGGTTTGTGATCATGACTTATTTAATCTTTATTAATCATTAATGATGTACACACGCTCTGCAGTTGTTCGAACTCAGTCTTAAAGAATAATATTCTTTTTAATCACTAATAAATAAAATAATAATGGATTGGATCTTAATTTGGTCGAACGTGTTTAAGAGCACATTTCCTGAACAAGCTTTTATTTATTATTTTTTTCATCTACTACCGTCAATACAAATATAATCATCATTCATCATTATTTATAAGTATGATTCATATTATTCATTTTCACTTTTCATTCGATAAGCATGCCATCCATTCTTCACTTTTTATTCATTAGAGTGAGATTAATGATAAAAGAGAATATTTTTTTTATAAAAGATCCGAATTCGAATAGTTATATTTATAGGGTACGTATGTTATGAGTAGGCTTATCATCCCATGCTATTAAATAAAAGAAGCATGTAATGTATGCACGTAGGCATAGGCTGCCAAATACTGCTTTGAGTTTTCAGTCAGATTTATACCAACCTTTTCAAGCGAAACTGAAATTGTAAACCATTTTTATTAAGCAGGAACTGGGCAAAAGTAAGCCAACAAATCTATGGAGAAATGCATAAAAACGATTATGAAGTCATTCTTCACTTCTTCTTGGTGGGATATGAAGCCATTTTGTTAATACCACAAAGCCCCTCAGATTTTCCAGTTTTCATCTTCATCCTTACGTACCCTTTTTCTCCCCATTTCGGTCCCCATGAGTTCTTCACGATTATGTAATCTCCCCCCTTCCATGTTCCATAGCCAACTGCTGCAACCCCATGGTCGAGCTCGGTTCCACACGGACCGTTGAACACTCCCTGCAAATCGAGAATTCGGGAAAACACTGTGATGTTAAATCTCTATGATCTTATTGCAGAATATGTTGGAGAAGAAGAAGCTAAAATAACGAAGGTTTTTACCCCACTGTAGAATTGGAAATCTCTGCCAGAAGCTTCGATGGCTACACTGAGTGGTTGGTGAGCCAAGGCTTTCAAGAGACTTCGCTCATCGTTTTCCGGTACGTCGTGGTAACCACTGATCGTCACAACATCGGTTTCCTCCTGAATATGTAACCAAAGACATCATTTATCAAACAAGCCAATAATGTATGCATGCATGTATGTACGTGTGTCTTCCTTGCGTTATTTGTTAAATTTTTATGATCAAATCGAATTAGATTGATCCAAACGAATTTTCGAGATCGGATTAAAATTAACAGGGTCTGTGTATGTACGGACCTTCTTTTCTTCACAGGTACCGTCCTCCATGAGGTAGGGGTAATCTTCCTCTTTGTGAAGTCCACCATTGGCAATGATGAACTCAAATGCATAATCCATAAGACCTCCATTGCAACCACTGTTGAAAGATGTGTCGCAATCGATGAGTTGTTGTTCGGACAAAGAAGTCAAGTTCCCTGTTACTATCTTGTTTATGCCCTCAATGGCTGCCACTGTCGAAAAAGCCCAACAACCACCTGCAAGGACGATATCCGTGCATAATTCAATTTTTCGGATCGGGGATTTTTGGGTTCCATCTCGTATAATTTAAAGGAGAAATCTCTTACCGCAAGAACCTTGATTCTTGACAGGGGTGACGGCACCTTTCTTTCTCCAATCAACAGAGTTTGGCAACTCAATGACATCTCTGTAAGTGAAGTCTCCAGGCGATTGTTTCTTTCTAAAAACCTGTGATTTGAGTCCCAAATACTTGCTCTTGAACTCTTCATGGCTCAAATCGGCAAACTCATTCAACCCGAGCCAGTAGCTACTGATTTCCTTATTCCTCTTGTCAATGTGCTTTAAATTATCCTTGAAAACCTCAAACCTCAGCAGCTTCTCTTCAATGGACTCGTAAATTTTGCCATGCTTGGATAACCAGGACTCAAAGAGCTCAATGAGTTTATCCCTGGAACTCAAATGCTCTGGTGAATAACCAACTATGGAGAAATCATGAGCCAGAGCTGAAAATATGAAAAGGGAAGCCATGATTGGCAGAAAGAAGAGCTTGGAAAGCAAAGAGATAGCCATTTTTGTTTTCGAATAACAAGTCGAGAATCGATGGATGGATGGATTTGATGAAGGCGTTTGGGGGTATATATATAGCATATTAGCCTTCGTTTGTTGCCTTCATTTGTTGCCTTCATGTGGTTCCTAAGGATACTGAGTCTTAAAGATTGGTTCTTTTGATAGACTTGTGTGGCAAGCATGTTCTCATTATGTTTTAAGTTTCGTCAAAGATCAGATCCCTTAAAAAATCTTCAATTTGCTCATAACTTTTTTTAATTAATTTCAATATTACACACTCTTCAGGTTTTAAAACCTTATGATTGGCCATACAACATTATAAACCAATACCATCTCAGAAAATGCTCAAACAAACAAACTTCTGCAACCATTTCTTTCATCAGAGAAGCCAAAGCTGATCAAGCTTTGTCCTATATCTTCCCTCTTCTGCCAACAAGCAATTGAGGAGGCCCATTACCATTTCTGTACAAATTATATGCACAATCAGAGAAAGTTCGCATAAAAATTATCGAGTTTTCTAATGCTTTTCCTTTACCAGTAAATGATGTGCCTGGCCATAAACTATTGAGCACCCAACACATCTCTCATGCTCATATTCAGACTGTTTCTCATGGTTCGTCTACCGATTCCTGCGTTGCCTTTTTGCATCATGGCAACGAATTCACCATAGTCGATTCTTCCGTCCTGAAATAAAGCAGATGTTGCAGAGCGTTGAAACTTAATCAACAAACCAACCCAAAAAGAGGAAAAAGAAAAAAAAAACTATTCGAATGAGAGCCTGCTTCCCGAGAGTCCACTGCTTTGTTCAATGTAAATTGACATGGTATATTATCAATGGCAAGTCATAGACAAATTTTAGGAACTGCATTGCTGTTATCAGTACCATGCTCAACCATAAAAAACAACTCTTAATATTAATGAAATAAAATGGCTAGCATGAGCATGTTGTAACGAATCAAGACATCAAGGTATGAAATAACTTACATTATCTTGATCGACTTCTCGGATTATATCCTCAAGTAAAACATCTGTCATGTTATGCTCAACACAAGCTTGCTGAAGCTCATCAACCGTAATATAGCCACTTTTATCCTTATCAAAGTACTGGAATGCTGCAACAAGATGTTCCTCCCGCTCTAGTTTATTAAGGTGAACGGTTGCAGCTATAAATTCTCCGTAATCAATGGTCCCGCTATTGTCAACATCGGCCTGCGAACATATAAAATAATTCAGATTATTTGGGTTGCAAAGTTTATTTGGGTTGCAAACTTGCAATTAACATTCACCACATGAATAACATAAGCACAACAGCCAAATAATTGTGCAAAACTGTATCCGTAAACACAAATGAAGACAAGAACTATCACAGCCGGCCAAATAAGTCATTGCAACTTCAACCATTTTACTCCATGCTTCTCTGCTAAAATCTCTTTCGTAGTAGAACTAAAAAATAATCTCGAGGGGCCACAAATGCTGCATCCCTCACAAACTCGTGAAAACATATAAGCGGAAGTTTAGACCAAAGGAATAAGAAGCAATACAAGATTTATTAAGGAATACGAAGAACATAAATAAACAAAAGCTTGAAAAATGAAACAAATATTTAGATATCTACTTCGAAAACAAACTTACTGCATCCATAAGGTCCCTTATCTCTGTATCCTTCAAGGTGGAACCATATCTTTGGAAACCAGCTTTGAGTTCATCAAATGTGATTGCACCGCTGTTATCGGTATCCATAGCTATAAACATTTCTCTCAAACCGGCAATCTCCTCTTCGGAGAGGCTTTCAGCTATTACCTGATTGCACAAAAGGGCAGAATTTGTACGTCAGAATGAATTCAACAGCCTTAACTCCAAAAGGAGCATGTTTAAAGCCAACATGAAGCTCATTGTTCTGAAGACTGAACTCTGAACATAGCAAGTACAAGGAGCAGCCAGACAAATAAATATTTGAACAAGAAATAGTGCATTCCTTGTTTAAGAGACAAACAGCTCGATTCTGCTGCATTGATTGGATAACAAACCCTTAATGATTCGAAGAAGACATTGTCTGATATAAGTGCATATATATACTGTTTCTTACCCTTAAAGCCATCTTCTTTAATTTATTCATTGCAGAGAATTGTTTGAGACGAGAAACACCGGATCCAGTGCCCTATCCGGGGCAACCCCATTTTCACAAATCCAAGGATGACCTAATCAACTCCAAAGGAAAATGATATCACAATTTGAACATTTCAGTGAAGAGTACGTAAATAAATGCACTAAGGAGGTAACAAACTATACTGACCAACAGAGTGACCTCTTACTCATCAGTTAAGAAAAATTAATATCATATCACATACATAATACTTCATGAGCAGTCAGCCGCTCTGAAGGTCGAGAGCATAACATCTTCTGGATGAGATCCTTCGCACTATCCGATATTAGGGGCCATGGATCTGAGTCGAAGTCAATATATCCTTTTAACACAGCATCAAATATTCCCTGTTGTGTTTCTAAAGAACATGCAGAGGGAGGTTCATAAGTATGTTATAAATCAAATTATCTGAAATTCTGTTCTGATGCAGAACCAAAAATATCGAAAATACCTGCCCAAAATGGTGGCACGCCACTAAGCAATATATAGAGTATAACTCCAGCAGTCCATACGTCTGCTTCTGGTCCGTATTGTTTAAGGAGTACTTCAGGAG